GTATTACTATAACTCAGGCTTATTTATGGATATAAGTTTTAAAATAAATTATCTAATGATAAAGTAATTTTTTATACAAAATTTTAGCAAAAATCCAATATAATAGTAATACCACGTCATCATTGACATATGATATCATCAATCAATAGTAAAGAAATATATAGAGGATGAACCCAAATGTCAAATGTTACTAACAATTCAATAAATTTCATATTTTTATTGAGATTAATAATAATTGTATATCAATAATGATAGACATCACCATCGTATTGAAATTTTCACAGATAATAATATTGACTTATCGTAATATCTTTATTTTTAATAAAAAAATAACCATTATTATTCTCATAATTTTAAAAATATCATTGATATTTCACTCTAAATAATATTTTATAATTTTTTTATTTAAAATATTTTCTTTATGTATGCACAAAAAAAAAAATTCAAAACCCAGGAGGCACGTGACCCCCTGGCTCCACTGTGGCTCCGCCACTGAACACAGCAACATGCCTCTGTGAACAATTTTGTGTTCCATATTCCATGTTAATAGAATTACTCAATTGATTAAGAGTCTAACTGGTCATAATCTTTTGTAAATTGTACCTCACTAGGATAACCTACCCTCCGTATGCATGTAGGTCTTAATCCTGCAGTCAAAATGTTCGGAGATTAGTGATTACATTTCACATTTTATATTTAAATTGTTTTCCAACAAGAATAATCAATAGTGCTGTGGAGAATAGTGCAAAATTTTCCTAAATATAATGATGTGCTTTGACACACCCAAACATTGCGGATTACACTTGATTTTAATGTATGCAGACACGTTCTTTTTTTGATTTGTTTTGGTCATGGTACTCCATTAGCTACTTTTTTATATTTCAAGTTTTATTTATTTATTTGCATAAATTACATATTCCATTTTTAATGAAAGTTCTATTTCTTTTCTTTTTTTTAAATATATATGGAAGTTCTATTTCTACACCCCCTTATTTCAGAATAAAAAATGTTTAAGAACACTAAAAGTAGAACTCTAATGAGAGTTCTATATATGTGACAGTGGGCCCCACTCATGAATGATTTGATGTATTTTTTTTTTTTTTTTTGCTTCATGCCACGTCATTAGAGTCATTATTGGAGTTCCAAATTTAGAATTATGAATTATTACTCTTTCACAATTCACGCATTTAGTTATTTCTATTTATTAAAATTTTGTCTTAAAATCAAACTACCAGAATACCCTTATCTTTTCCATCCCAAATCATTATCCTCAAACCATCAGTCTCACCCATCACCCTCAATGCTCTCCAACCCCAGGCCCCCTTCCCTCCTGTCCCTACCCCTCTTATCTTCTCCCTTCCTTATCCACCCCACATCAATGTGACCTCCTCTTTGATGATTGATATCCAAATAAATCCTATTGGTTCAATGATTAATATTTGAACAAATATGCTATTGATCGGTTGTTGATATTTGAATGTCGATGATAGTAGTCAGAATGGTAAGAAATAGAGTGGTTAGGGCTTGAGGAGAGGGGGGGAGGGAGGGGGAGGTGTGCATAATCTAGGGTTTCAAGGTGGGAAGAGAGATTGGAGAGGGAGTTGCCATGTGTTTAGGTTAGGGTTTGGAGGTGGTGGCCCGTGTTAGGATTATGATTTGAACAAGGTTATTAAAATCAGGATTTTAGGTAGAATCACTAGGAAGGACTTGTGAATCAAATTGTAGAATTGGATCGGGGATAATAAAATTTTACTTTCAATGTAAAAGAAAATAAAAAATTATTGATAATGATAATGTATGTTAGATAATTTTAAAATCATTAAGAAAAATGATAAATCTAATACAACACGTTTTTTATGTTAACATAATTTAGATGAGATACATAAGTATAAAAAAATAATAATAAAAAAATAACAAGAAAAAATTTAGGTAGGATTGAGATCGTAGTAAACTTGGGATTGTAATGTGATTTTATATGATTTTATGACTACGATCGTAATCACTTTAAAATTTAAGATTCTAGTGCAATTTAAATCATTTGGTCCAACTGAGATCTTAAAATTGTTAGATCCTATGATCCAAATTAAGATTTTGATAACCATGGATTTTGAAGGTTAAAGAAGGTGGGAGTATTTTTTGACTTAAAAAAAGGCCAAACTACATAGGGGTGACATCTAAGGCTAGAACCACCCTAAGGTGGTGCTATACAGTAGAGCCACTTTACTATGTAGCAGTAAGACGCGGACTCGCATGCAGGCGGGGATTCAAACCCACACTCCTAATATTAGGTCCGATTCGCTCAGATTTGAAAAGTTCGTCCTGCTAACTATTTGTATTGTCGCTCAGTTAAGACATCGAGGTGAGTCGAACTTGGGACCTCAAAGTTTATACTCTAAGACCTTACCAAGTCGGCTACACCCCTTGGGTTTTGACTTGATGAGCAAAATATTAAGTTTTAAAATCGTCTAATATGTGCGTTGGGAGAAGATGTAATCTGAGAATAATTGACATGTTAAAAGCTCCCATTCCATTCCCAGTGGTAATTCACATCATAGTTCAAATTTCATGATTGGCTGGTCAGAGTATGCTTGAATAGCTCGAATGTAAAAGAGCTGTGATTCCCAAATTGAGAGAATTGGAATTGTTGATACAGTTTATCCCCGGTGAATGGAGCGAACTGGTCCAAGCTCCTCAAGCCCAAGCCCAAAATGATCGAGCCCACCGAATACCCTACAAACAAGTTCAACGGGGAACGGGATAGTCCCCCAGTGAACCCTCCGACGATCAAGTTAGAAAGAAAAGTAGAGTATATGGGAGAAAATTAGAGATAGAAAGCTTAACTTTTTTCTTGTCTACAACGTTCGCTTATATCCTTTGGCAATCATTTCGCTGTCCCTTCCGACCTGCTCTCCTTGCCGAAAGCCTATGCTGTAGCTTACCTTGCTCAGGGTAAGGGGGTCCTGTTCCGGCGGAGAGGTGTTGTCGTAATAAATGTTGTGATGGACTGCATTAATGGTGATGTGCAGTGGCAATAACTTTGCAGATTTTTGTCTGCTGATGTGGTTCGTCCTTCTCTTGCCGTGTGTCTGAATGTCATTGGCTCTTTATGCCATGTCGGACTCCAGCTGTCTTGGACCTCGTCAGCTGGGTTATGCACTGGGCTGCAAGTGATGGGTCATAGGTGATTTATGGCCTTTATGGGCTTATACATGTCAGGAATAATAGAATCAAGAAAGATTGGCTTGGAAAAGGAGAGAAAATATCAAGAGAGTGTCAGGTTGTTTCTGTTGTTTAAAGAAATTGGAGTGGGGCATTTCAACTCAGTAGGAGTAAGCATCATTCGATTTAGTTCAATTTTGGAGTACATCAAGATCAAATTATCACCTTCGGTTCTAAAAAATTTGAAATTAAATCAAATCAAACTATAAAAATCTTATAATCAAATCGAACCGAACCAATAAAATAGGATTCAGTTCGGATTGAAACCACGATTTTTAAAAATCTTGTCATCATTTATATTATGACCACAAAATATTATTCACAACCTACTCAAATATCAAAATATATAATATTATTTTATAAAATAATAATAATTTAGATAATTGTTTAGAATTAATTCTACTACAAGAACAAGTATGCAAAAATAAAGGATTGACATTTTATGTATAAATATAGGATATTAATTAGTAATTTGAGTGTTTACAAGAAGTATAAATTATATATATATATATATACATATTTAAAAAATTCGATTGGATTTTATATGATTTTGTAACTATAAAACCACGGACTAAATGGTGGCACCTATGGATGACTTCCAAGTTGTCATAAGCATGGACTTCTTGGGCAAAGTACCAATACCATTCCTACACCCCATGGCAATCTTGGAGGAAAACACACCTTGTGTGATACAATTAGTGCCAGGAAAAGGGTTCAAGACCCTGCTTCTCTCAGCTATGCAAGTAAGTTAGGTTTACCTATTTGAACAACCAAGGCCAAATTATTCTGTTTCAACATTTACCTATTTGAACAACCAAGTAAGTCAGATCGATTTGCGTTTTTTTGTTTTTTTGGCTCAATCCTATAACTCAGGCTTCTTTTTCAAAGGTGGCAGGTGCAAATGTTGAAACAGAATACACGACCATGATTTTTTTATTTTTGTTGAGGATTAGAGATGAGAAGTTCTAGCGATGAAACTTTTTTTTATCCGACTTTTGTTGGTGTGCTACAATATCTCAGTACAGCCCTATGAAATACAGACAATAATTGTTCCAATTACAGCCCTGTAAAATACAGATAATTGAACCTAGCAAAGTGTTATTAAACTGTATATATTAACACTAGATTGGGATTACTTAGCAATATATATATATATTTGCTTAGAAGTTCATTTTTTTTTAATTTAAAGAACTGATGTGAATTTACACAAGTTATTGCTGATCATACAAAGAAACAGATGAAATGAGTAAATATTAATTAATACAGAGAAAATATGTGCACTTAATTTCTGGCACTCTTTCGTGTTTGCTATTGCCCTCCTAGTCTCCCATCTTTAGTCACCATCCTCCTCCAGTCTTCCTCAACTTGCTTGGACATGTTTCTTCTTTTTCTGGTTTTCTGGGCAGCAAATGTAAAACACCCACAACACCGTTAAAAATACATTCTTACTTTGCATTTCAGAAACAAAACATAGCAAATAGCCATATGCTTAGAAAGCAAAGAGAAATTGCTGTAAAATATACTGTATCTATTTATTTGACAAATAATTAAACTTACTGATTTAGTATTTCAAATGTTCATTCATGTGCAGACTTTCTCGACTGTACCTACATCTAGGGGATTGTCGTGTATACAAGAAGGGTAATCAAAACATGATCACTTGGTTGACTAAACATCAAGATTCTCAAATCCCAGCCTTAATGGTTGTTGCCATCTCCTTTATACAGAAAGTAAGTTCATTATCCATTATACAGAAAGTAACACAACAGTATTTGAGAAACTCGAGCACGGCTCGAGTCAACTCAATTACATAAATGAGACAAGCTCAAGCTCGAAAAAAAAAAAAAAAAAAAAGTTATAAGCAAAATATAAAGAATGTTTATATTAATAACAAATTTCATTAATCAAATATATAAATTTACACAAACCATTAAATAAATTAATAAAAACATATGTGATATGTTATTGCCAATAATCTAAAACATTCTCATATGCCATAGCCTAGGTAATCCTGATTTGAAGCCAAAAATGGATTTTGAATTGTAAACACAAGACTTGGATTTTTTAATAAATGCCACAAGAACATAAAAAAATATGGGGAAAAAGAGGAAGAAAGCATAATTTTTTTCACAAGTAAATTAATTTTATAAGAAAATAAAAGAAGTTATATCAAATATGTACAAAGACACCAAAACAAAAATCGGTCATGCGTTAACAAAGCAAACAAGACAAAAGAACATTAACACTAAATGCTGCAATGAAAAACTAACTAGTACAAAAACCAGTCAGACCAGTAGACTGAAACAGAACAGAAGCAATCTTAGCACCCACAGCCAATAAATCAAATCATTTTGAAAAGCTTTGGTTTCAAAGAATGATAGTAGAGAAATTCCATTCTGAGGTAGGTCTTCCAATTGGTAAGTGTCGTAAGCCTTTCACCAAGCAGAGGCTCAACTATCATCAAATTCGTCCTGGATCATAATTGAAGGGGATTCCATCCAAATATAACATACAAAGGCAGCAAGAACAAGTTTGCTGAGGGTATTGTTAAAATTCTGTGTGTTAAGGTTCTGAACAACCAAATTGAGTTCCATTCCCATCCTTGAGGTAATCAATTATATACTATTTCTATTTAAGACGGCTTACCAAATACTAGTAGAGTATTACATAAGGGGTAATTTTGTGATTCTGCAAATCATTACAAAGAAGGCATTTTGGCTGAATTCATATCCCACTCTGTTAGATTTCCCTTGTAGACAATTTCATCTGCATAACTACCATAATATCAAAGCAAATTTGGGGATGGTTTGTGTAAACCATTCAATATTGCACCACAATACTTGGAGAGAAGTCTTCCTTGATGGCATTCCAGGCAGATTGAGTAGTCCAGTCATTATTTTATTTTGTAGAAATCCATACTAATGTATCACGTTGTTCAGATTTAAGTTGGAAAGAGAGATGATTAATCTAAAAATCTCCTGTATTACAATAGGTCTGGATCTCAGCTAGCTACATGCCCCCCCCCCTCTCCCCCAAACTATCACGTGTTTTTCATATAAACCCCCATACTTCGATTTATTACAATTTAGTACCTAAACTTTTTACAAATTGATCAATTAGACCCCTGCTGTCACCTTTCGTCTACAATTGGACGGAATGTGCATACTCTTTCTTGTAAATTTCATTCCAAACTATACTCTATTTCGGTGATCCTAAGTAAGAAATTTGTAAAAAAACTCCCTCTTGTTGAGGAAGAAACCCACTTCCAATTTGGGTAGAACCTCTCAAACATATAAAAATAAACAAAAGAAATACAACTCATTTTCATGCTTTTTCTATTTATATAATATTTATTTATACTTAATAAAAACAATTTGTGATTGACATCAATCATTAATATTTATTCATATTTCAACAGATCTATTACAACTAGGCAGAAAAAATACTAACTGTTAGAATATACTTACAACTTAATATATAAAAATATATACACATTCCCATAGGCGCTCCTAACCTTAGAAATCTCTATTTGTCCCCGCTCCCGCTTCCGTCCCCACTCCTGCTTTGTGCAACTAAGCTCTGTTTTGTCCCCATATCTCTGAAGTCTTTATGGAACCCCACAGGTGCTAATTATCAATCCACAAAAAAATAGTCTTCCCATCACCAATGATGTATTTTTGTTTTCGATAAATGCCAATGATACAAACAGGAGGCCACTGGTTCAACGGTTAAAACTTGACCTTGAGGTTTATGGATTTGAACATGAGGACAGCCACTTTGTGTAAATTAGGTCAACAGTCAGATTTGTACCCAATCTAGCTCTCCCAGATCTCCGTCAAATGGGGACTAAACTGGTTAGGTTATAGTTTTTAACATACCAATAACATACTTTATTAATGGTTGACAAGTTCCATGTAGATTCAATAATGTTTTCCTAAAAGTCGAACATTACTTTATTAATGCTAGTACATGTTTCCCTATAAAGAAATCCTTATTTTCCCCTCTCTCTACCCCTTCGGGAGAAAGGGGTGGACGCGGCTGTTCAGCAATAAATGTTGAATCAAGTCCCAACCACCATTCCACATGCCAACTTGACACTCTGGTTTTGGCTGATTGTAAATCTACAAAATCTGAATCTAAACTTCACAAACCCAAATTCAATAAATCAGAAAAGAATTGGAAATGGGATTCTAACCCTAATAAATAAAATCACCCATATCATAAACTAATCACACAACATGCTTAGCTCAAATCAACACACCTTGAAAGCTCATTCTATCAAAAACCCACAATTAGTTACTCAAAAATAAGCAAAATACTTAAACAAATCAAACAATATATACAACCAAAAGAAGTGATAATGAAGAACAGAGAGGTGAGTGGGACTAACCATTGATTTTTGATTGAAGTGGAGGCGATTGGACAGTGATGGCGGCGGAGCTGAAGCTCATCTTGGCAATCTCAGAAAAGGCGGCGTTTCGGACAGAGGGGACATCAGTGGTCAAGTCCTCGTAGGCAACCTGAAAAGCCTCGAGCCAAAACCTAGGCAATCGAATGCTACTACTGTGCGTATACACATCCCACATGTGTCTCACCAGCTTCTCTCTCTCCTCCAATTCCTAAAACCCCCAAAATCAAAACCATACAACTTTTAGTATATATATATATATATGGAGAGAGAGAGAGAGAGAGAGAGAGAGAGAGAGAACCAGGGTGTCGAGATCGTCGGGGATTGGGGAGTCGAAGTCGTTGGAGAGAGGGTTGAGGTTGCCGGAGGAGGACCATTTGAGAGTGACAGAGCCGGTGAGCATGGACCAGAAAGCAAGCAACAGAATGGCGGCTAAGGCCCACAATTTGTAGCGATGCTTCCCCATTTGAGACTGAACTGTGTACACCTTCTTCCAAGTGGTCTTCGTTGTTGTGGTCTGTGCTTCTTCGTCCTTCATTTTCTCCACTGCTACGCTATTTTCTCTCAAATCTCAATTGTGATGTTAAAAGAGAGAGAGAGATAGAGAAACAGAGAGTAGGGAGTAGAGTAGTAGGGGAGTAGAATTAGAGAGACGACGCTAGACAGAATTTGATCCAATACTTACCTGCATTAATTAATAGAATAATGCTTGGGACCCCTTTTGGGGTCACCCCCTTACCCCCTTACCACGTGGCGGGTGGTGATTGGAAGAGCAGGAAAAAAAGGAAAAAAAAAAGAAAATGTAACCAATGAGAGAGAGAGGGGGTCAAAGGGGGTGGGGGAAAAGGGGGATGAATCATTGTTGTAATTAATATAATAATTAATATGTTAATTAATGATGTGAAATTATTTAAGAAACTTTTAATATTTATAATTTATTAAATAATTTTTAATATTTATAATTTATATGAACAGAATTAATAATAATATTATAATTAATATTAAGGGGAATTGACTAGTAAATTTCATTTTGTGAACTTGTAATCCATAAGATTCTGAATGTTTTCTTGGTGACTGGATGGTCCCTTAATTTGTTTGTTGACAATTTTGTCACTGCTAGTATTATTGATTGACATTTGGTGTGTGAGTTTGTATAGGAGAAGGTGAATGAGTGTTTGTGTGTCACGTTGATAAAAAAAGCACTCTAATACTTTTTTTAATTTAACAAATGTATAACACTCACAACATGAGACGTGGGTTGTGACGTGAACACAAGTAATTTGACACAAATTTTTTTTTTTTTTTTTGTCCCTGGGCATTCCTTTCGAGTACTTGTTCGTCAAATGGCTCCCCAGAGCTTCCATCACAGCCCGGCACACAAAATTCTCTGAAGCTATCAATTCAATCCTTTTGAATTGCCTCTGCTTTTCTTTCTCCATAATCCAAAAAGCATCCGGGTCTGCAACGCAGAGCGGCTGATTCCCCCAAGCCCGCACTGCACTCCGTCGCGATTCGAGACCGTGAGGCTCGAACCGCTTGATCGAAACCCGTTTCGAAGACGAAGAACACGATGCAACCGATTCTCCATCCCTCCTCCTCTTCAGAAACATTGAATGCCCCAGAATTCGAAACTCCTCATCATCCCCACTCTCTCCCTCCTCAATCTCGTTCTCATGCTTTTGATGCTGATCCATCAACTACAGCGGAATCGACGGCACATAATGAGAGGGGTCGCAGACGTGAACCTTACCATTTGTTGGGTTCACGCAGAATCTGATCGCCTGTTCCAATGGATTCACACAGTTCGCCATTGTTGTGACAGTCCGCCATTGTTGCTTCTAGCGTGAACATCGTCAAGTCGGTGTACCACGTCGGCAAAGTTGATCTGCCGGATTCCTGCCCACCTACCAACATCACAATCATAATCGTCACCTACATCACCCAAATAAAAAAACACCAAATCTCACAGATTCACACAGTCCGCCATTGTTGTGACAGTCCGCCATTGTTGCTTCTAGCGTGAACATTGTCAAGTCGGTGTACCACGTCAGCGAAGTCGATCTGCCGGATTGCTTCCAAACATTGTTCACGTCGATCTGTTAATTGATTTTGCTTGAATCATCATGTTGGGAGTGTTAAATGGTGGGTCTTTAACGGTTAGGGGGGTTGATTGCGTGTGCCATGTGATTGTCATTTGGGATGGTTTGTTTGTTACACTGTGTGTAAAATTGATTATGGTTTGTGTATGGGTATGGTTATTGGGTTGTGTCCTGATGAATGTCCATGTCCATTGTTGTGTGGCTCTTATGTGTGTTGTGTGTGAACACAACAGTGTGTGTGTTAGTGTAACGGGATGGGATAAGAATGTGATCCTTGAAATTGTGTGACCCATATAAAGGAAAGGGTACAAACGTCCACAACAATATAATTCAAATCAAACCAAGACCTAGCAGTTATCACGTTATCACTGATGGGATCTACCACTGCAAATGTAAATTGGTGGGACTAAATGGTGTTACTGATTCAATTATGAAACTTTTTGATAATTTTTCCTAATATTAATACATATATTAATACGTTAATTAATACATTTAACACCACTAAATTTGATAAGGGTCCGCTGCTATGTGGGTTGGGGTAGCGTGCGTTAATGTTAATTTATTTGGCTTAAAATAAGTAAGTGGGGTGGTGATGGGTTTCTGGTTATTAGAATTTCTTATTGATTGAGTAATAATGTTATTGGATTGGGTTTCTTCAATTGGTTATAATAATATTAATTTCTTTGGTTTAAAATAAATAAGTCAACCTAAGTTCGTATGACAATTTTTAGGAATTGTTTGGAATAATTTACATAAGTATATTTTTTGACTTTTTATGTTATATGAATTAGGTTTGAAGTGATGTGATAGAAAAGTGATATGAATTAAATAAGATGATGTAACTTAAATAGGATAGTGACTTTTGACTTTTTAACCTTTTTAGGTTAGGTCAAACTTAGCCTTAATTTTAGTTATAAAATTTAAAAGTCATTATAAATTATCATGTTATTTTTTTGTTATGTTATGGAGTGCTTTGCAAAGTTAGTAAAAAATTAATTTTGTGATTTTTTAATTTATTTTATCTTTTTATGAGTAAGAAATATAAGAGATAATATGATCCAAAATGAGTAAAAAAAAACTAAAAGTTGACTTTTTATTTTCTTTTCAAAAGATTTCTATATATTATTTTATAAAAAATTAAAAAAATATTAAGATAATTTATTCCTAAATAAGCCTTAATGGGAGTAGCAATTGGAATTTGGGGAGCATTCAATACATCATAGCTATCTTATTGACTACCGACGTATTATGGTCCATGCAATGCAACTTGCAATTCTTTTTTAACTTTTTTGAGTTTTGAAAAATAATTTTAAGCTTTAATTTCTATTTATCTTTTTGTTGTTGTTTCTTTTTAAGCCACTAGGTTCTATTTCCGAAACTTTTAAACTTAAATATTTTTGTGTCAAAAAAATATTATTTGTCTAAAAAGATATTTATGTGTTTAAAGTTTATTTATTTTACTATTTATTCAAACGTTACTTATCTGTCTAAACATCTTGTTTTCTCTACATGTGTCATATATATGTATAATTATTTATTCAAACATTTAATTATCTGCTTAAATATTTCACTATTTGTACATTTACTACGTCTTTGTTCAATATCACATAACAAATGAGTTCACCACATTACCTGTAGTGACCCTTTTTCCCCACCTTAGCCTCGGGCATGAGCATTTGTATAATCTTGTTTTGCTAAGTTGCAGTCGTGAATTTTCTTGACTTGTCTTAACTAGAATGAGATTTTTTGTCTTGGTATGTACTTATGTGAAATTTACTTGTTGAGTCTTATTCTTTCTGGTGAGTCTAGCCGAGGTCACCTTAAAGCCAGAGCCACCTTGAAACCACTTTGGTTGACCTCTACCTTCGTCCTGGCATATTGGCCGAGATGTCATTTTCTAGACCGAGGTATATCATCAAGGCCGAGGGGTGTATCATCTAGGTCGAGATGTTATCCTTGAACCCAAATGATCTTGTTCCGGATTGGTGCAACCTAGACCGAGGTGTGGCACATCTAGGCCGAGGTATGGCACAGCTAGGCCAAGTGTTGTCCGTCCTAGCCGGGATCATAGGTACCTCACCTACCGGAGCCGATGTTTTCACCCGACGTCAGTACCTTGTCAGAATGCCATGCCGCCTTACTTGTTAAACACTCTTTCGCCATACTTTGTCTGGTCTGTCAGCCTCCTCTTCGGGGAGAACCAACCAGCAGTTGCCACGTGTCCGAGCTGAATGTTAAATCAGCCGGCAGTAAGTAGAACCTATCATTTTGTATCATATCTTTGCCTTAAGAGAGAGAAGCTCTAGTAGGAAGAAGGAGTTTTAGAGTGGAGAAGTGGATCTTCGAGCTTGATTCCTAGATATTTAACCGTTAGATTCGTGTACTAAGGTTAGATTCTTGACCTACTCTTGTAGTCCTTGTTAATCATCTAGCTGCATTGCATGATTGAACCTGATTTGCAAGCCATGCATTGATTGAAAGTTTGGTTTTAGAAAGAGAAAGTAGTATTCATGAGTTCTTGAATAAAAGCACTGTTTGATCCGAAAGTTTACATTAAGATTCATGCTTTTGTGTTTGTTTTCATAGGATCTTCGAGTATGGGTACCCATGTCCATGTTTTTGAATTCGTAGCATGAAATCTCAGCTTTTGTAATAGCAAGTTTTGATCTTTGCATTCATCTTCCTCATGTCCATGTTCTTCATATTCGTCATGTTCTTCAAGAGAGAGAAACCCAGATTTTCCCGACCTCATTTCCTTGAATGTGGCCATCAAGGCAACACCTCGGCAAGGAGGCGTGGTACCTCGGCCTAGACCTGGTTATCGCCCAGCATGTGTTTCTCGAGATGAGAAACAGTGTTTTGTTTTGACTTGGCTTAGTTTTGAAGGATGTCGAGATCATCTGTATGCATATGAGCTTGTTTGAAAGTGCATTCAATAGACCTTGCCATGTATTTGTAGGACTTTGACTCTCGCTTGACCCCGACATTGAAGAACTAGGTGAGTGGTATTTTTGATAAAGCTATGTTATAAAGTTTTACTTTGTTTTGAAAAGTATTTGCTAAGCATGAATGACTATCCCTATTTGTGTATCAAGTATTAGCTTTGATCTTGGAAATCTTGAAAGTCCGTACGTGCTAGGGGACTATAAGCATTTGTAGCACAATCTTGAAAGTCCGTACGTGCTAGGGCACTATAAGCATTTGTAGCACAATCTTTGTTAGTGTCGCCCATGAAATTTGAAAGACCTTGATTGATGAAGCTCGATAGATTTGTTAGATGAACACGATTTATCCCACGTTTGTCCTAAGCTATGATTATGCATTGTTTTGTTAAAGATCACGGATGTCATACATGCAAACCCTTTATTACTTGTACCATTCACTGAGTATCCAAGCTCACCCTCTCTATATATATATGTAGGTGATGAATAGGAAGGCAGTGACGCCTAGGTGTGACTCGCAAGCTTGTTTTGGGTTTTTGTTATGTCGGCCTAACTTGTATTCATGTCGGCAGTCTTGAAAATTATGCTTCTCGGCTCATAATCCTTGTAATTTACACATGTC